CAGAAGTTCTGAATAAGATGGCAGTATTTGACTAAAAAAAGTTGTGTCTTTGCTATGCCTTGAAGTCATTGCATTGACCTAAGTTTTTCAAAACTTTTAAACATTGTGATGAAACAAAGAGGAAAAAATTCCTCGGGATTTGGAAAATTTGATCAAGTGAGAGAAAAAGAGGCATGCTAAGCCCTTAATGATTGAGGTTATGCTTGTTAATGTGAGTACTGAGAAGGATCCTGGCTTGATCCAGATTGGTTCTGCACTTCTTCAGCGCGAGCGATTTGTCGCTTTCTTAAAAGATTTCAAAAAATGTTTTGCGCGGTCCTGCGATGACCTATGCGGAATCGCTCTTGAGATTGTGCAGCATAGGATCGCTCTTAGCCTCGAGACTCAACCCCCTTGCTTTTAAACCTTGAACTTAGATTCAGAATGTTCAAAGGTCAATCATGATGTGAGGTCTGTGTGGCCAGATTTGAAGCAGCCCCCGAGCTAGGGGCAAGAAGGTTAGGTATGATCAAAAGGAAGCTTGCAAAGCTAAATCAGAAGTATCCCTCGAACTAGGGGCAAAAATGTCAAATGTGCTCGAAGAGTTAAAAATTGAGATGTTTCTCAAGCTAATGAAGATCGGCAATGCCAAATCCCAGAAGGGAGGAAAGAAGAAATTATTGCTAAAGGACAACTGAGTTCCTCTCCGCAATACTGGGGAGCAATTCAGCCCCCCATTGGATGGACTTTTACATCATCAGCAAACAACAGATATTCTCCTGGATTCAGATGGCTTCGAGATCCTAGAACCATTTGGCATGGACAAAGCTACACTTTTACCCTTGAGAGGCTCGCTGGGCCGAAAACCCGGAAGGGCAACCCATGCAAAAGTTAGAGCAAGAAAAAGAAGAAAAAGAACAAAAAAGAAAAAATGCAAAGAATGAAAAAAAGAAGAAAAGAAAAGAATGAAAAGAAAAGAAAAACATAGCTCGCAAAGTTGAAAACCCGGAAGGGCGGCATTGGCAAAAGTGAGAGCACAAAATGAGAGGTTAATGCCAGAGTGTACCTTAACCCTAAACTACGTAAGGCTTGATTCCCATGTTTGGGATACGTAGGCAACTTCATTCTGAAGTCTAGCCATAAAACACTTCAAATTCAACTATCCTGTCTATGAGATTGAACGAGTCATCTTTGTCATTTCTGTATCCAATAGTTCGGTTGTGACCTTCACTATGAGAACTGGTTACAATGCGCTGCGGTACTATTCAAACAAGGGGCAACTTGCCGTTGCCGTGCAGTGTCCTTCAAACAAGGGGCAGTTCCATTGTTTTAGATTTGAGATTGTGCATCTCAAGAGTAAATTATGTGTTGGTCGTGCAGTGGCCATTTGTAAAAATAGTTTTTGAGAATTTTTAATGAGGTTGACTAATATTCTCTCGAAAATTATTCCATCTTTTCCAAAACTTGACCATTTCTTGGACCCAAAAAAAGAAAAAATTTCAGTGCTCATAACCTAACTTGCATGATTTCAAATCAAAAAGTTGAACAAGTATGTTAATCTAACTTTCATATTGGTCAAAATTGTTTTAGTAGAAAGTCAAAAACAAAAAGATGGTCAAAATGATGAACTAGGGGCACAGTTGAGTCAGGTGTTCTGTCTTTTCCCCATTGTCAACATACTTGCCAGAAAGGGCACTCTACCTACCAGAAAAGGGGACAACTGAAGCTAACAGCAAAGGGCTGAAAGCTTTCACATCCTCTAAGCACCGAGGTATCAAGCTAAGTACGAAGCACAAACTGGAATGGATCAAGATATTCCACTCTCTCATCTGGCCAGGTCTGATCACATCCAAACTGGCCAAGGGCGTCATCAACCGATGTCAACTGCAGATTTGCTACACACCCAGTTGTAGCGCAACCCCTCTGTGGGAAAGCTCACTGTTGTGAGCAGAAGAATGAGGATCTAGCATAATGCTGGGGGTAAGAGCCCATAACTTCCTGTTTATCCATCAACCACCCAGGGGAGGGATAAAAAAAGAAGAGAGATTAAAGAATAGAGAGCTGTGCGTTGAGAGAAAAAGTGAGAAAAGGGCTTTTTCAGAAAATAAGAGATGGAGTACCAGAGTGATGTGAGAATCACAAATAAGAAAGGGTGGGAAACGACACCTGGAGAAGCTGTGTGCTCCTCGTGAACCGAGAGGTCTCTCGCCTTTGAAACACATCTGAGTGGTGTGTATGTGTTTTTGTTTGTCTCGATTCTTGTTGTGAGTCGTTTCGAGTGTCAACAGATGTGTTTAGGTTGTTTTACCTTTTGTTTTTGCATTTGTTGAGTCGTTTTGACTGTGGTCAGTCGTAGGCTCAATACCCAGTTGAAAACTTATTCTCACTCTCAATTTCAAAAAAAAAAATAAATCGTTTTGTACTCAGAGTGCTGTGCCATTCTCCACATTTGTGCAAAACAGGATTTGTTCTTTCGTAAAATTGCAGGGTTCAACCCAGGTCATGTCAGAACAGTAAAACCAGGACTTATCTGAAGCTATATAGGTTCCAGACTGCAAAGCAAAAGAACAGAGGGAGAATGTCGTGTGAAGCCCCTGAAATATGTATTCACTTTAAAGACCCTAATGTTTGAATTATTTTCTTAAAGCCCCTCCGTCATTTGAATTATTTCAGATCTTATCGGTTAGCATTTTATTTTATTTTTAGCAAAACAGGAATTTTTCTAGGCAGATTAGGTTCCCTAACCTAATTTAATTTAATTCTACATGAGTAAGGTTCCAACACATGTATTTAACTCCAAGCCCTCACTCTTTATTTAAATTCAAAATTTACCCAAAGACTAGTACTTGTACCTTTGTACCATGAGTACCATCCATCAAGAGATATATATATATATATATGTATACACCTTGAGGAGTGTGTCCTAGAGCCTAAAATTGATAAAAAAAAATAGCCCCTTCACCCTTCCCTAGGGCCGGCCATTCTAGGAGGAAGTGAGGATACAATTTTCTAAGTCTATCATCATGAAAATCTAGAAACTCACAAACCTAGTACCCTAGACCTAGGATGCTAATTCCAAAACTAGTTTCATTACAACTAAATGTTGCCTAAACCTATGAGTAAGCCTCCTAAATCATCTCTATTCCTTTAAAACTTCAAACAAATCCTAACATTTCCATCCATTTCCAACTAATGGGCTTTTAGGACATTTTACATCAAAAATTGTCTATATATATACCAACACCCCCTAGCTTGGCAAGCACAAATAACACACTCACACACACTTTCGGCTAGAGAGAGGGAGGAGAGCAAGAGAGAGAAGAAGAGGGAGGAAGAAGAGAGCCTTCTAGTGCAAAGCTTAGTAGGTAAGTCACAAACACAACCTTCTCTTTCATTTTCCTTTTTTTCAATACATGTTTCTAAGGGTTCTAAATGATGTTTTCAGATCTGTTGTTAATGAGTTCTTATGTTAAAAATGCTAAGGGTTGAGTATTGATTCTATCTCTCTTGTATTTTTCCCATTTTGGCACAAAACCATCCTTTTTTATACCAATCTATCAACTTTCCAAGGGCACTCTTTCAAGAAAATTTTCTCAGTTAAATCTAGAAGAGCAATCCAATTTCCGAAATATGTTCTAGAAACTAGATCAAATTCTCTATGAGCCATAGGAAAGCCGAATCCGGTGGAAGATCTAAAATAGTCCGTTCATTTTAATCTTTATGTGATACTAAATCTGGAAATTGTGTTATGTGTGGATGTTTTATACCCTTGAGTTCATGAGATTGCTTATTAGCTTATGATCGTATCTTGGCATGATATTATATGTATTGTGGTTATGTTATTTACCTTTCTCCTCTTAAGAATGCATGCTTGTATGGATATTATTGTCTTATAAGTTGGACTAACCTTGATTTAAAACATTTAACTCAACGGGAAACCTAATGGGGAGGGTATTGGGTTTTCGAGCACTTGAGTAATGAAAAGACGAGAATATGTGATATATGGTTTGTTAGGATGCGTTCCCTATTTGGAAGTTAAAGTCTTGTGCAAGTGGTTTTCGGGACCCTTGAACGGAGCGGTTGTATTCGGACCGTAGGTGGTTTGGTGTGCGGAGGGATTCGGACAAGGCCCTATTCTACCGTCTCTTTTGAGGCCCTGCGGTTGGCGCTACGCGGTACATAACCGTTGGTAGGCATCTGAGGTTAGTTCTGCAACAAAGCAGCAAAAGAGGGGACATACCGAATAATCCGCGTCCGATTCTTGTGGTTGGGAGGACGAAATCTCTTTGGGGGATTTCTAGTTTGCTAACATCTAACTTAACCCTTTATTTATTTATTTATTTGAGTACCATGCTTTATTACTTGATGTTATAGTTGTGATTGTGTATTGGACTGGGAAAAAGGGACGGGGTGTGTGTGTGTGTTTACTGGGCATTCAAAGCTCACGGTGTATCATGTCAGGTGATGAAGAGGAACTCATAGCTAGAGACGACGAGCCTAAAACTTTCGAAGACTTTTGGCTATCCTAGAAAAATTAGAAGTTTCTTATTGGATATTTTGTAAAGACTCATATGAAGACTTAAGCTTTCTTTTGGGATGTAATGTAATGGGACCATCTTTTGAATTAAGTATATTGTGGTTGTTATGTATTTATCTTCTATGTATAAACCTTATCGTTGCTTATGAGACCTTGTGTCAATACCTTTTAAGATCTGTCAAAAGGGTAGTGCGCTGCCTAAGAAAGGTGGACTTAGAAGGGAGGCTATTTGACTCCTCCGGCGATTTGGGATCTTACTTGGTTATTGACCATAGGACTCATTAGTGACTCTCCCTTGACTGCAACCAATAGTGTAGAATTGGGGCATCACATGTCGGGTATCTGAGTTTGTTTCAACTTCAGTAAGTTCTGAGATTGCATTCCATGTGTACCTCTTCAAGTCTTGCCAATGCTCCGAAGTATGAGTGTGCCTCTACCTCAAGCTTAAGATCAAGTCTGCTTCAAGCAAGAATGGTGATCAAAA